AATGAACTGCAATTCTCATTGCATTATGGGAGCATCAATGTGAAAGCTATGAAATTTAATAGCATTTATATATGTCAAAAATATTGCATTGTATAATCCGATTTGTATTATATAGTTTTCAACTTGATTTAAACGAATTTTAGTAGTTGTACAGCTTTTAATTGTGGCTTATTTTCTTATTTCTTTTTCACAATATTAGTTACTTATTTGATCATGGCACAATAGTTCATATTGTATGCAGGGGGGGACTGACCATTTGGAAACTCGGGCACTGCCCGAGGGCCCGGGGTCAGTAGGGGGCCCCATGAGATGCCCCTGGTACCTTTTTCATAGGCTTTTTAAAATTTGGGCAAGGACACAGGGGCCCCATGGACCCCTATTGCCCAGGCCCCATGAGTTGTCAGTCGGCCCCTGATTGTATGTAAGAAGTGATTTTCTGATTAGGGGTGCTGCTAGCTTTTATAAACTTTAAAAATTTGGGGTGCTTAAAGTCTGCTTTTTATCAATGTCAAAAATTGTGTCACAAAATAAAAAATGAGAACAATAAAATGTTGATAAAAAGAGTTTTAGCCTTACTCAGTAAAGGGTTTCAGTGTTACATGTTCATTCCAAATTTCAGCAACCCATAACAAACTATCAGATTACATTTTGCTGGAGTCAAAACTTTTTCAAATACAGTAGATGAAATGTCATTATAAAAAAATATAATTACTATTATTTTAGGTGTTGTTTTAAAATATACAGTAGCTCAGTATGAAAAATTCATACGTGTTTTCAAAATATCATGCAGTAGTCTGGGATGCATCATAAACAATAAAGTGCAGCACTGTAATCAGAGGTAAAAGTATAGTCTGTAAACTCTTTATAAATCTTATATAGAAATCATAAAGGGATCTTGAAACAAAGCTCCTCCTTGTACTATACTGGTGACTGGAACTCTATAGTAAAAATGCGTGCTCACAGACCGCGCATTGTAAATGCGCATAAATATGACCCTCAATCCGGGTAGGCAGCAATCACATGGTTCATCCCTCAGAGGAAAAACATCAGCCTTGGGTGTAGTGATGAACAGTGGAACTCAGAGATCCCCCTTAGCCAGTGAATGGACAGCCTAGAGCAGTGGTTCTCAACCTTTCTAGCGCCGCGACCCCTTAATACAGTTCCTCATGTTGTGGTGACCCCCAACCATAAAATTATTTTCGTTGCTACTTCATAACTGTAATTTTGCAGTAGGAGGAATAGTGCCACGTCATTGGTGTCATTGGGAGGAATAGTGCCCCATCATTGGTATCAGTGGGAGGAATAGTGCCCCATCATTGGTATCAGTGGGAGGAATAGTGCCCCGTCATTGGTGTCAGTGGGAGGAATAGTGCCCCCTTCATTGGTGTCAGTGGGAGGAATAGTGCCCCGTCATTGGTGTCAGTGGGAGGAATAGTGCCCTGTCATTGGTGTCAGTGGGAGGAATAGTGCCCCGTCATTGGTATCAGTGGTAGGAATAGTGCCCCGTCATTGGTGTCAGTGGGAGGAATAGTGCCTCGTCATTGGTGTCAGTGGGAGGAATAGTGCCCCGTTATTGGTATCAGTGGGAGGAATAGTGCCCCATCATTGGTGTCAGTGTGAGGAATAGTGCCTCATCATTGGTGTCAGTGGGAGGAATAGTGCCCCATCATTGGTGTCAGTGGGAGGAATAGTGCCCCATCATTGGTGTCAGTGGGAGGAATAGTGCCCCATCATTGGTATCAGTGGGAGGAATAGTGCCTCATCATTGGTATCAGTGGGAGGAATAGTGCCCCATCATTGGTGTCAGTGGGGGGGAATAGTGCCCCATCATTGGTATCAGTGGGAGGAATAGTGTCCCATCATTGGTATCAGTGGGAGGAATAGTGCCCGATCATTGGTGTCAGTGGGAGGAATAGTGCCCCATCATTGGTATCAGTGGGAGGAATAGTGCCCCGTCATTGGTATCAGTGGGAGGAATAGTGCCCCGTCATTGGTGTCAGTGGGAGGAATAGTGCCTCGTCATCGGTGTCAGTGGGAGGAATAGTGCCTCGTCATCGGTATCAGTGGGAGGAATAGTGCCCCATCGTTGGTGTCAGTGGGAGGAATAGTGCCCCGTCATCGGTATCAGTGGGAGGAATAGTGCCCCATCATCGGTGTCAGTGGGAGGAATAGTGCCCCATCATCAGTGTCAGTGGGAGGAATAGTGCCCCATCATCGGTGTCAGTGGGAGGAATAGTGCCCCATCATCGGTGTCAGTGGGAGGAATAGTGCCCCATCATCGGTGTCAGTGGGAGGAATAGTGCCTCATCATTGGTGTCAGTGGGAGGAATAGTGCCCCATCATTGGTATCAGTGGGAGGAATAGTGCCCCATCATTGCTGTCAGTGGGAGGAATAGTGCCCCATCATTGCTGTCAGTGGGAGGAGGAATAGTGCCCCATCATTGGTGTCAGTGGGGGGAGGAATAGTGCCCCATCATAGGTGTCAGTGGGGGGAATAGTGCCCCATCATTGGTGTCAGTGGGGGGAATAGTGCCCCATCATAGGTGTCAGTGGGGGGAATAGTGCCCCATCATAGGTGTCAGTGGGGGGAGGAATAGTGCCCCATCCTTGGTGTCAGTGGGGGGAGGAATAGTGCCCCATCCTTGGTGTCAGTGGGGGGAGGAATAGTGCCCCATCCTTGGTGTCAGTGGGGGGAGGAATAGTGCCCCATCCTTGGTGTCAGTGGGGGGAGGAATAGTGCCCCATCCTTGGTGTCAGTGGGGGGAGGAATAGTGCCCCATCCTTGGTGTCAGTGGGGGGAGGAATTGTGCCCCATCGTTGGTGTCAGTGGGGGGAGGAATCGTGCCCCATCCTTGGTGTCAGTGGGGGAGGAATAGTGCCCCATCGTTGGTGTCATTTGGGGGAGGAATAGTGCCCCATCGTTGGTGTCAGTGGGAGGAATAGTGCCCCATCGTTGGTGTCAGTGGGAGGAATAGTGCCCCATCATTGGTGTCAGTGGGAGGAATAGTGTCCCATCATTGGTGTCAGTGGGAGGAATAGTGCCCCATCATTGGTATTAGTGACACCAATGATGGGGCACTATTCCCACTGACACCAATGATACTTACCTTGCAGACCCCTGCTCCAGCCTGGGCTCGCTCGCTCGCTCCCTCTCCCATGGTACCGACACTTACCTGTCAGATGTCTTCCTTCTCCGGCCGCTCTCCTCCTCTTCACTCGCTCGATCTTCGCGGTGCCGCTCGGCTCCTCCTCTCCAAGCTCCACCTCCTTGCCGGTGATTGGCCGCCTGTGTGCCTCTCCTGAGCTACAGTGCCGGCGGCCAATCACAGGCGAGGATTGATCTCGAGGTGTGTCCAGATGACAGGGGCGGCATGTCATCCCGCCCACACCTGGAGACGGCGGTGGCGGCGGCGGCGGCGAGGAGCGGTGTCTCGGTTCCTAAGACCATCGGAAATATGTGTTTTCCGATGGTCTTAGGCGACCCCTGTGGAAGCGTCGTTCGACCCCCAAAGGGGTCGCGACCCCCAGGTTGAGAACCGCTGGCCTAGATGAATGGGCTCCCTCTTCTGGATATGGGATGAACTGGAACTCATCTGCTATGGATCTTTGCAGGCCAGAAGCGGCTCCTCCACTTACAGAAGATGAAGGCTGGAGAATCCATGGTTCATCTTTATACAGGTTTGTTCTAGAGCTGATCGCTCAGTGCCATCACTACACCCAAGGCTGATGTTTTTCCTCTGAGGGATGAACCATGTGATTGCTGCCTACCCGGATTGAGGGTCATATTTATGCGCATTTACAATGCGCGGTCGGTGAGTACGCATTTTTACTATAGAGTTCCAGTCACCAATATAGTACAAGGAGGAGCTTTGTTTCAAGATCCCTTTATGATTTCTATATAAGATTTATAAAGAGTTTACGGACTATACTTTTACCTCTGAGTACAGCGCTGCACTTTATTGTTTATGATATACTATACAAGGTTTTTTGTGATTCCTTCAAGTGTTCTAGCAGCTGGATATATGAGCGCTCGCTTTACTCCTTTTTATCAGTCTGGGATGCATGTTTGTCTGTGAGAGGGGTAATAATGGTGGCACACACACACCCATCCACACACATATTGGTGTTGACTGCCAGTAACAGGGGCGTATTTACCACAAGGCAAACAAGGATTTTGCCTAGGGCATAGTTTTTTCAGGGGGAAGCAGCATTTTTCAGGGGGCAGCAGCATTTTTCCAGGGGGCAGAGCCGCCCCCCAAAAGGAGGGATGGAAGAAAGGACACACACAGCATTGGGTCCAGGTGGGATCTGAGAGAGGCTGCAGGCTGCTTGATGATGTATGCAGAGCCCAACTTGTTCCCGTGGATGTCTGGAGTTATGAAGGTGTCTTCTCTCTTGTCAGGGTGGGGTGGGATGCCAATGTATGGGGGCGGTGGCAGTGGAAGGCTCTCTTGGGTGGGGGGGCTGAGGTGGGGTGTTGCTGGTCAATGTCAGGCTCTTATCATGGGGGGGGGGGTGTTTGTCAGTGTCAGGGTCTCTCCATGGGGGGGAGGAGGAGCTGATGTTTGTGTCGCCTAGGGCAGCACAAAACCTAAATACACCACTGGCCAGCAAACATATTGTTTTTTCATTGGAATTTTATACTGTACATACACTTCACCCATTCTGGGTTTTTTCTCCTATAACTGCACTAGTGTGTATGTAGAGAAGTAGAGAAGGCATGTTGTCCCTTTCAGTCTAACTGCTCCCAACTGTAGTGGGCCTTTTCTGGCCATTATAATTTTCTTTCTTAGGATGATACTACAGATAGCCCGTCAACTTGGGTAAGTTGGTGGTAGCACAGGACAGTTAGCCTCTGGGCAGGAAGTGTAATCTTAGACCTTCTTATAGCATACTTTATAGTTGGAATTTCAACATGGTGAAAATGGAGAACAAGTATTGGGGTCCATTAATTTATTTCTGCCTTTGCAGACACAAAAATTAATATGGAGGATGAAAATATGACATCAGTAGATGAATTCTTTTTTCTGGGGTTCCCTGGGCTTGGTAGGCTCAGATTTCTTCTCTTTATTCTTATATTGACTACATATACTGTGACAGTGCTCCTGGATACTATGGTTATAATATTAGTATCAACCAGAGAAAGTCTACATTCTCCCATGTACTCATTCCTCAGAAATTTCTTATTTTCAGAAATGTGTTTTGTGACTGTTATTGTCCCCAATATGTTACGTATCATATGGATGGATGGAGCCACCATATCTGTCATTGGATGCATCACTCAGAACTACTTTTATGCATGTTCAGGTACTTCTGAATGTTACCTTCTCACTGCAATGTCCTGTGACCGATACTTGGCCATATGTAAACCCTTACACTATAACACAATAATGAGCCACAACCTTCAATATTTCTTGGTTATCTTTTGCTGGGCGTTTGGTTTTCTTTTGGCCTTCATCCCAGTGTGTCTTCTAGTAATGCTCAAGTTCTGTGGCTTGAATGTCATTGACCATTACTTTTGTGACCTTGCTCCTTTTGTGAACATTGCTTGTTCAGATACTTCAGCCCTGCAATTCTATACTTTTCTTCTAATCAATGTCATGGTTACTATTCCATTTGTTTTAATCATTATAAGTTATATGTGCATTTGTGTAGTTATACTTAGGATGCCGTCCATCGGCAGTAGGAAGAAAGCTTTCTCTACCTGTAGCACTCACCTCTTGGTTGTGGGGATATTTTATGGAGCTGTATTCATAAATTATTTTACTCCAATGAAAGGACATTCAATAGCCATCAACAAAATGTTATCAGTTGTGTTTAATGTGATAACACCATTGTTCAATCCCATCATATACAGCCTGAGGAGTCAGGATATGCATGCTGTGATATTCAGTTCTTTGCAGGGGTGGACTTGAAGATGAAAGCACCTAGAAATATTATTTGGATTATCATACTTGTCTCATCAAGTATTACATTTCCTTCTTAGAAGTAACACTCAATGTACTGCATTTCTGAGTGAAAACTATTAATGTTTAATGTGCACATTTCAGTTTACAATATGAACATCTCGAAAGCTTTACATACACCAGCACCCAGACTATGGACATTGCCTTACAGTATGTATTGTTACTCTCAACTTCAAATTCATGGGCTTTTAAACAATTTCTGAGCTGCAAAAGCAAGTGCTAAAAAGACTTAAGACCTGTGCTTCTGTGCTTCTTTTCTAGTCTATTCACTTTGCTTTCAATCAAGGGGGTGTTTTTGGACCCCAAATTGTGTTGGCTACTCTTTGGATTGTCCTCCTGACTTTTATTGGAATAAAGTTTTATGTGAACATTTTAGCAGTGTTTTGGCACTTCATTTTACATTTTTGTTACATTGCACTACAAGCCAAGGAGACCATGGAGCTCTAATGGGATGTAGTTACCTGCTTGGGAACCAGATTACTTACATCAATATCAATACTGTAAGATCATGTAGCGCTAGCCACGCAGATGTTGCTGGTTGCATTGTTTCCTCTGCTGTCATCTTGACTCTGATAAAGGCCTCAGCTCCACTGACACCTTAGGTTTCACCACTTTAGCAGATGTGGGTGAGCAATTTATCAATACCTTAGAGTCACCCTGAAATTAAACTTGAGACTTTATAGCTGACCACAGAATGTTTTTTTCAATTGAAAATCAAATAAGGCAGGGTATAACGATGAAGAGTAGGACAGCACAAACAATACACTGAAGGTTTTCACCAATATTTAGGGTACTGAACTAAGCTTTAAGCCGATGCACATAAACTGTAACTTTCCCCACTAAGTGAACAGCCACAAGCAACCAGAAACCATTATCAACAAAGTTCAGGGACTAAGTTGTCTGTGGATGCTTGCAATGGGGGAGCTAAGTCTAGGCCTCTTGTAGTTGTAAGAATATGCAGTGTAATGGTAACCACACTCAATAGTAGGTAACCTAGGTACAGTTCTAAAAGTTGGTCTTCTGATGGCTATGTTGGGGTCCTGGAAGACGTTGGAGTGCTTATTGGTGAAAGATAATCATGCACTCAGTAGGATAGTCTAAGATGTAATGGATTTCTTAGTGCACAGAAATCGGAAGGGATCAGGTAACAAGTTAGGGCTTTGTGATGTAAACCCTGGGCAAGCAGGACAAGCAGTGCCTAATAGTGATTAAATAGAAACTCAGGAGATGCCAAAGGAGCTCAAGCTTCTCAAAGAATATTTTTAGTTTCAGCAAAAGAACAATGGTGGGTCAAGGACCCACTCCTTAGCTCTCTGATCTATCACAGTGGACTGTACCATTGAAAGGAAGGCCCCCCCCCCTTTAGTCTGATGCTGACTTTCTTCAGCAACTGGTTGATAGTGGCACGGACTGGCTGTGAGAACAGAATTTTGGCATTCCTGGAGTGGACCCAAGTGGCCGTAGAACCGTATTATTATTATATGGTGCTGTACGCTCAAGTTCCCAAGCTGTAGATGAACAAGCCTCAGAGCTGTGTCCAGTGGCAGCAGAAGAGTGCAGACACTCTGAGGGTCTCAGTATAGTGGTCTGTAGGGCTAATTAGTGGCCTCCTGGGCAGTGCAGATTTATTAATTTGTCCCGGTAACCATTGCCACTGAGACAAAAAGAATCAAGGGAAAACCTTCCAATCTAGAAATGTATACGACAATTGACCAAGGGGTCGATTTACTAAAACTGAAGAGTGCAAAATCTGGTGCAGCTGTGCGTGGTAGCCATAAATGCTATCATAGGGGATATTCTTATTCCCTGTGATAACAAAAAAAGGGATACAAAAAAAAATAGGCGGGCCAGTGTAATAAAAAAAAAAAAAAATCTAAGTAAACAATAAAAAAATTAAAGCACCCCTGTCCCCCACCCTCATGCACAAAGAGCAGTGATTTTAGCATTGAACCTCCCATGTAAATCAAAAGTAGTGGCTTGTACAGGATTTTAAAATGTCACTATAGTTTGTTGCCGTTTTAAATCATGTCATGTTTGGTATCTATTTACTCAGCATAACATCATCTTTTATATTTTAACCAAACACTTTGTCAATATCTTGTGTTTCTGTGCATTATAATTCAAAAAGGTGTATTTTTCCCCAAACAATTAGTGTTTGAAAAATTGCTGAGCAAGTACTGTGACTGCTCAAAAAAATATATAATATTATTATTATTACATTGAGTTTATATAGCGCCAAAGGGTTTGCTCAGCGCTGTACAATAGAGGGGGAGACAATACATGAAACAGAACACCAACAACAAACAGCACACGAGGGGTTAGAGGGCCTTTTACTCTTTTGAGCTTACAATCTAGGAGGGAGGGGGTAGTGGTACAGGAGGAAGTGGCTGTGGGGGATGGAGTGGTAGGAGGAATGAAGGAGAACGGCTGTTAGGCGAGGGTGGGGTTTGGGGGTTCAAAGTAATTTTATAGAAAAAAAAATACAGATTTTTTTTTTTTCATGTGTACAAAGAGTGTCAGAAAAGGTCTAGATTGGAAGAGTGGGTGAAGTGTGGCAGAAGTTTCTAATGGTGTGCATAAAATGCCTTGATAGCACAACCCCCCCTCCCCTCCCCAATTGAGGCTTTTTTGGAAGTAGACACCCCAAACTGTTAGCAGAGAGGCATGTTGAGTCCTTAGAAAAATACATTTTTTTACCACAAGTTTTTTGAAAATTATTTATTTATTTTTTTTACACAAATTTGTCAGTTAAATGATATATTGCTCACACATGCCATGGGTATATGTGGAATTTCATCCCAAAATGCATTCTGGTACTTCTCCTGAGTATGGGGATACCATATGTGTGATACTTTTTGGCAGCCTAGCCGCTTACAGGAGGCCAAAATCCAAATTCCCCTTTAAAAGCCTGAAGATGAATAGCTTCCTTGTTTCACTTCCTCACTATCTATCACAGTTTCAGAGGCCCTGAAATGCCAGGATAACACCCCTTCCCCCCACAATGATCCCTTTTTGGAAAGTAGACATACAAAGGGAATGAAGAGGCATGGTGGGTATTTTGCCGATCTAATTTTTTGTCACGAGGTTTTGAAAAAGAAAAAAAAAGAATATTTATATTTTTGTTTTCTTTCTTCATTTTCCAAAAACTTGTGGCAACAAATGAGATTTTTTGGCAGTCTAGCCGCATACAGGATCCCAAAATCCAATAAGCACCTTCAGGCTTTTAAAAGGACATAATTTCCTCACTTTCACTTTCTGACTACCTATCACAGTTTCGGAGACCCTGAAATGGCAAAATAGTACAAACCCCCCCGCCCCCAAATGACCCCCTTTTGGAAAATAATCACTCCAAGCTATTTTCTAAGAGGCATGGTGAGTATTTTTCAGATCTCATTTGTTGCCACAAGTTTTTGGAAAATGAAGAAAAAAAACAAACATTTTTTTTTTCTTTTCTTTTTTCTTTTCATTTTCAAAATGAGATCTGTAAAACACTCACTATGCCTCCTATTAAATTCCTTGGGGTGTCTACTTTTCAAAAAGGGGTCATTTGGGGGGGGGGGTGCTATTCTGGCATTTCAGGGCCCCTGAAACTGTGATAGGTAGTGAGGAAGAGAAATGAGGAAGATAAACACTTACAGACTATTAAAGGGTCATTGGATTTTGAGCTCCTGTATGCAGCTAGGTTCCCAAAAAGTCTTGCACATGGTATCCCCCACTCAAGAGAAGTAGCAGATTATATTTTGGGTGTAATTCCTCATATACCCATGGCATGTATGAGCAATATATCATTTAAATAACAACTTAAACAAAACAAAAAATAAACAATAACAAAACATTTTTGTAATTTTCCAAAAACTTGGGGGAAAAAAAAATCTTCCATGGACTCAACATGCCTCTCAGCAATTATTTTAGGGTGTCTACTTTCCAAAAAAGGGGTAATTTTGGGGGATTTTTGTACTGTCCTGGATTTTAGCACCTCAAGAAATGTGATAGGCAGTCAGAAAGTAAAAGCTGCATACATTTCAATATCTATATCATAGTTTGTAGAAGCTTTAACTTTTACACAAAGTAATGAATATACACTTATTGGGATTTTGTTTTACCAAAGACATGTAGCAGAATACATTTTGGCCTACGTCTGTGACAAAATTTGAGTTTAGTGAATATTGTTTATAACAGGAAGTAGAAAATGTTGGGGTTTACTTTTTGTATTTTTTCGTTTATATCACAAAAAATAAAAAACCCAATGGTAATCAAATACTACCAAAAGAAAACTTATTTTGTGAAAAAAAGGACATAAAGTTTGTTTGGGTACAGCATTGCATGACTGCGCAATTACCTGTTGAAATAGCGCAGTGCCGAATAGCAAAATATGGCCTGGTCATGGGGGGGGGGGGATCTTCCGGAGGGCGAGTGGATATAATACCTAATCATTTGGCAAAATATAAAAGATTATGTTACGCAGAGTAAATAGATATAAAAAATGTCACGCTTTAAAATTGTGTACGCATGAGGAATGGCGGCAAACTACGATACCTAAAAATCTCCATAGGTGATGCTTTAAAAGCCTTTACAGGTCACCAGTTACACAGAGTTACACAGGAAGTCTGGCGCTAGAATTATTACTCTCACTCTGTGATCGCTGTTTAGATATGCATGTGGGACTTACCTATGCGTTCCCATTTGCACGTGAGCAGAGTCCCTTTTTTTATCAACTTTATTGCCCTCACAAAGGATGGACAAAAATCCCTTTTGCTAGCATAAGCCATGACAGGTCCTCTTTATGGAGAGATCTGGGCCACTTACTGTGGGGGCATTCATGTGTACTTGCTCCCATTGATACACAGAGTTGGCTTGGCCCCGCCCCTTGTTCCCTCCTTGCTGGTTGTGATTGACACATGGGCTGGACACAGGTTTACTTTAAAGTGTATGCAAATCCAAAGGTGTCC